CTATCATTTAGAATGGAAGGGCAGATAAAGTGCTTCCCAGGTAAAATCAAGTTGAAGGAATTCATCATCACCCAGCCCTTAATATGTGAAATGTTGAAGGGACTTGTTTAAGAAAAAGAAGATCAAAACTATGAAGAGTAAAATAACAACAAACTCACAACTATCAACAACTGAACCTAAAAAAAAAAAAGCAAAGGCAGAAACAAACTAAGCAAACAACTACAACAGGAACAGACTCAGAAATGGAGATCACATGGAGAATTTTCAGCAGGGAGGGTGCTGGGGGAGAACGGGGGAAAGGTACAGGGAATAAGAATCATAAATGGGCCCTGGCTGGAGTAGCTCAGTAAACTGAGCGTAGGTCTGCAAACCAAAGGGTTGCCAGTTCGATTTTCATTCAGGGAACGTGCCTGGGTTGCAGGCCTCTCCCTGTGTTTCTCCTTTCTCTATAAATAAATAAATAAATAAATAAATAAATAAATAAATAAATAAATAAACAAACAAACAGATAGATAGATAGATAGATAGATAATCTTTAAAAAATAGAATCATAAATGGTAGATACAAAATAGATAGTGGGAAGTTAAGAACAGTATAGGAAATGGAGAAGCAAAAGAGCTTATATGTATGACCAATGGACATGAACTAAGGAGGCAGAGGATGGTGGGGGGGGTGGTGTAGGGTGGAGGGGAATAAAGGGGAGGAAAAAATGGGACAACTATAACAGTATAATCTATAAAATAAAAAAAAATTTTTAAAGAAATATTAGCCCTGGCCAGGTGGCTCAGGTGTTTGTAGGATCATCCCATGCACCAGAAGGTTTAGGGTTCAGTTCCCAGTCAGGGTGCATATGGGAGGCAACAGATCAGTGTTTCTCTCCCACTGATGTCTGTCTGTCTGCCTGTGTCTGTCTATCTGTCTATCTGTCTCTCTCTCTGTGTGTCTTAAATCAATAAAACATATCATATGTGAGAACTGAATACACACACACAAACACAGTAGTATAGTTCAAGCATAATGAAGCCTTCTCCATACACTGCATTCCACTTCCCTCCAAAGCCCTTCAGGAAATGTTTAATCACTTAAACCAGAATTGAATCACTGTAATAATCGGTTAAATGGTTAAACATAGTACAGGACCCCCTCAATTTTTCCTATTTCTTCAGAATATTTAAAGAAGAGATCTAGCTACTAAGTGTGCATGGATGAAGAAAGGGGAAGTACAGAGAGCTGACGATGATAATGATGATGAAGCCAGAGGCAGGATGATTACATTAAAATTCCAATGCCCTAATTTCCTGAAAGCTAGCCAGAATCAAATCCTTTTGGACAAAACAGAGTTGAATAGTGTTCTAGAAATAAAGGAATTTAGAGACTTACGATCTAATCCAAACTCTCTTATCCTTACAGAAAAGGAAACTGATAGTCAGAGGTCATACAAGGTCACAAAGCTAACCAGTACTGTTTGTACTATTCCATCATGCTGCCTCTTCCTGGCCTAGTTCTACTTTCCCAGCAATGGAAACCAATCAACTGTGCCACTTCTAATATTTCCTAAGAACATTTCAGTACAATCCTTAACTGTATTATTTTATCTAATCTAACCCAGTCCTCCAGAAGTGCCTAGCTCAAATTCTCAGTGCTTGCGTCTTATCAAAATGGTGCCCCATTCACACCAGCATCACTTGGTGAGGGGTCAGCCTGGGCAACCTCAAGCCCAACATTCCCCCTCACAAATGTCACTTTTGTCTCCATCTTATAAGTGTGCCCAGGTCTCGGGGTGCCCAGCTTCTTCTTCTGGTGCTTGAACCATTCCCAGAAACTCATCTCTGTTTACTGCCATCTGTCTAACAAACATTTATCAAATACCTGCTGTATACACGCCACACATTCATATACCCAGTAAACATTTATTGAGCACCTGCTGGTACCAGGCACTGTTTTAGATGTTGGAGGCATAGTGGTGAACAAAACAGACTATAAAGTTCCAGCCCTCTAGGACAAACTTTTTAACTGGGGAGGCAAGTTTGATGTGCTAGTTTTTCTAAGACTCATTAAAATAATTATATAACTGTTAAAACATGTCCATGGGCATACTATCTAAACTCATCTCATGTGATATCAGTGATATTCTCAGCATACTCTAGGTGATCTGGTCCTGAGCTGTCAATTTATGATAAGAGAAAATGATAAAACAAATGTTCCCCCAAATCTAACATAAGTTGGTAATTATTCAGATTTATGGGAATGTAGCAGAAATGAATGGTCTCATCACCAATTTCAACAGATATAAACCTCAGAAACCTATCTTTTCCAATTTTAGTATATGTAAGAAAGATATAAAGGACTGAGTTCACTGCCTTCAGAGATTCTGAAGTAGGATGGAGTCCAAGGAAACTGCATTCTTGCAGGTACTCCAGTGAATATTGATGTAAGAAGACCCAAGGGCCACATGTTTAAAGATGGCGGGTGGGGCAGGGCGCAAATTTTAAAATTCACTCTAGCTTTTCAGTAGGATGACTTGGGTTCAAATTCCAGTTCTGACTATGTGGTATTAAGCAAGTCAAGTAACCTCTCTGAGGCTTGATTTCCTCATCTGTTCAATGGTGATTATAATAAAAGGTACCTCACGGAGCTGTTTTAAGGCTTAAATGGATGATATGTGAAAAAGTATTACAAAACCATAGAGCCCTATATGTGCTACGATGTGGAACCACTCTCAGCAGCTTATAACTCAGAAGACAATCAGCATTTCAAATCAAGATACAAGTACTCTTCCATATAAACATCTGTTCCCATTTAATTACAGACTTTGAGTTTAAGCTATAATAAATTAACCCCCAAATTAAGCATGCATTTCAGATAAGATATTGCATGATAGATAATTTCAAATATTACTGACTGATGACTACAAAGTAAATCATCAAGAAACTGTATCTGGACCTTTAGGGAAAACCCTATGCAATGGCTCGAAGGTGTCACAAAGGCCCATCTTGGTTATGCTGATTTTAAGAACCAGTTTATAAGTAGCATATAAAACTATCCTTGTGGTTCAGAATAAAAATATTTATTATTTAAAAAAAAACTCTCTCCTTGAAAAACACATAGCTCATAAATAATAAATTTAATGCCAACTTTGCAGACTTGGCTACAGGGCAAATATAACTAAGACAATTATAAGACATACTATTTTATAATAATTCATTAAAGGCTTTAGCTATGATCTAATGTAGATATTTAAAATTCGATTTACAAAATATAGAAAAACCTTATTTTTTATGAATACCATCTGTTAAAACATTCCAATAGGAGCCAATTGTGCTATTAAGCCAATTGTGCAAAATTTGTAAATAGACTAAAATTGAAAAATAGTTACTTCATATTTAAGTACAGACTCAGACTGATCTATTAACATAGAGGTTAGAAAGCTATGCACATGGTCAATATTCAATCTTCTATAGAATCCAATCAGCACTAACAAAAATTCAACCAAATGAAAACATTACAGTTAACTCCTAATTGTCCATACAGAAAATCAATCCAAGGACTGACAGCTATTCTCTACTAATATGGGTCCTTGAGCCTCTCCACTCAGTGGGGCAGTTTTTCAACTAAAGTGGGGGCAATAGGGCAACTGGGATCAATGGGGTCAGTAGCTGCTCAGTGACCAGCTATTCAGGCATTGGTGATGCAGCAGATGTTTCTCCTACCTGGAGGTGGAATATTTTCCCAGCAGGGTTTTGAGGACTGGGAGCCCCAGCTGCTCCTATGTGTATAAACATGAAAACCAAATAGCAGGGAAACCTATTAAGGAATATACTGTCACTCCTCTGGCTGGGCAGATCATCCAATTTCTACTAATGCACAGCCATGCTTTTCTTCAGTAGGTGTAATCCAAAGCATCCAACAGCTAAGATGAAGCAAGTACAGCATGAAAGCCAAATCTCAATTACATAGCTTCTCGAGTCAGTCTCTGCACTTGTTATATTATAAGCTAAAGAGGAACTTACACCAGTGCACTTAAACAACGAGCAGCTATTAGGAATGAATTAGGATCTTTATTGTAGTTCTTTGTTTATAAAACTTGATGCCTGGTAAGGACCATGATTTTGAGAGACTGTTGACTGAGAGTAGTCTGGAATACTAAATGCAATTAGCACATATGTGTGAAAATCAATTCTCCTACTAGCAGGCAAAAATTACTATAATATATAGAAAACTTATTTCAAATAAACATTACGATTAAAATGTAAACATGGTTTCATTTAATATACCTGATAATAGTTTACTGACATTAAAACAAAGTTAATATTCAGCCTAAAAGATGGAGCACCCAAGTTTTTTATTTGTTAATTGATTCAACAAATATTTATTGAGCACCTGCTAAGTTCCATGATCATGCTAGGAAACTGCAGCCCCTCGCTGTTGACTAGGAGGTTTCCACTCTTTAACTTTAGAATAAACAGGTAATCCCACTTTTAAAATAAGCAAAAAGATATTTGTTAACTCAATAAGGACTATAAAAATCAGGCAGCCCATAAAATATTCTTGAGATTTAAAAAAATTTTTACATTCTGTTATCATATGTTAATGCTGAATACTCACAGGTGGTACCTAAATACAGTAACAAATTATGACATTAGGGAAACACTGTATATCAAACATTTTCTGAAATTCAGAATATTAACAAAAAAGATATAGGCATTTATTATAATAAAATATAATATAAAATACATAATAAATCAAAAAATGAAACTGAATTTTTAAAAAATGATTATAATCTAAAGACAGCTTTTCCAATTAATTACAAAATTATGACCACATGTACTAGATCCTGGTAAAATTTCTCTTCTAAAGTTCCTGAGAACTTTTCAGTCCTGTTCCCAACCAAATGGTTGCCCAGCAACAAGGGGCCAAAGTCTCACTCCAATTAAAATTGCAAAGTAGGTTCTTGGCTACTTAGCATATTGAAAATGAATTAAGGACTCAATGCCACTTACCTTGTAATCTCTGGATACATTTTCTGATGTCACTGATCCTGATATCTGGCTAGAAATTGTAGCAGCTATAAGCTGTTTACACCATTCAACATGTGATCCTGTGGGACTAAAAGAAATAGTGTGATTAAAATATTTTAAGACACAGGCTCTTGGTGAGAAAAATGAGCCCTGACTGGGGATCTAAGTGCATTTCTATTTTCAGACAAACTTTTATTACACTATTTAGTTGCCTTTACATTTAATATAAGAACTGAAATATAGGCCCTGGCTGGTGTGACTCAGTAGATTAAGTACCAGCCTGCAAACCAAAGTGTCAAGGGTTCGATTCCCTGTCAGGGCACATACATGGGTTGCAGGCCAAGTCCCCAGTAGGGGATGCACAAGAGGCAACGACACAACAATGTTTCTCTCTTTTTCTCCCTCTCTTTCCCCCTTCCTTTCTCTCTCTAAAAATAAACAAAATCTTTTTAAAAATATATATATATAAAAGAACTTAAATACTGACTAACAACTAGGAAGTAAGATTAGCTTCTAGGTTGACTTTAAATAAATCGATAATTTATTTTTAAGTTTAAGATTCTAAGCAAGTTATTCTCTATTATTTGATGGAATTTTACCCTTAGAATTACAGGGATGGGCAAAAGGAGGTTTACAATTTTAAGTACCCAAAACAGTTCATTCTTGTATTATTTTCCATATGAAAACTGTAAGCCTACTTTTGCCAACCCATGTATATTGAGTGGATGTTCTTAATGTGATGTATACAGAACATTAATTCTAAAGTGAAATATTTATCTTACATGATATGCTTTTCAAACATTCAGTTTCACGTTCATAGTTTTAAATCTAGAAAATAATATAATTTTGAGTAAATCAAAGTGACTCTTAACAGAGCGAAGTTGACTATGTTATTTTTTTGTAAGAACAGAATAAAAAAATAGCATCCTGTATCTAGTAATAATGTTATCTCACATTTCTATAAGGGCTTTGATGACTTAGAAAAGCCTCTTCCAGTCCATTATTGTATCAGAGCCTCACAACCACAGTATGATAAGAAGACACAACAGGGAGTTCAAAGATGGCGATGGAGTAGGACAGAGTGGGTTCCATTTCCTCGTACACTTGGAAGAAAATCCTGGCTGATCTATGGAGGAACAGCACAAACAGCCAACAGTTCCCCAGCATATATGAAAATAAGAGACCAGAAATCGTAAGAGACACTGAAAAACCAGACAGTAAGGAGACGGCTGCAGGACAGTGGAGTCTCAGGGACCAGAGTAAAGACAGGAGCAGCAGCAGCCCCAGCTAACACTCAGCCCCCAGAGCCCATGGCGCGCCCAGGCTGGCGCACCAGTGCCCAGCTCCTGATGCATCTATCTCGGACTCTTTGGGAGCCCTAGGCCTGTCAAAGGGTCCTTGGAAGAGAGCTGGGTTATCAGCTCCCTCCCTCCCTGGCCAAGCAAGGTTGGGCACCAGGAGAGACCTGTTTGCTAGAGTTTGCAGAGAATGTACTAAGGACAAAGGGCCAAGATCAACCACAGACGCTGTGGTCGCCAGCTCAGGAGAATTGAGAGGCGCAGTGTGGGGCTGTGACTCCAATAGTCACCAGTCTGGCTGGGGGATTAGGCTGTGCTGAGAGGCAGCCTTTCTAAAGGAGAAAGTTTTTGGAAAGTAAACTGAAGGATTCTCCTGTGACAGCCACTTGGCCTGCTCCCCACCCACCCTGGCAGTGAACCCAAGGTTGGGCAGAGGGCCTGAAGTTCCTCCACAGAACTGGAATGGGTCTGCACATGAACCTGGACCCAGGCAGTCTGGCTGGCACACGTGCATGCGTGCCCCAAAACCCAGCCCACGGTGATGACCCTGGGGGAAAGAGTGCTATGAGGAAGACCTAGATCCCCTTCCTGCAGCGCTGGGGAGAGGCGCCAGGTTGGCTCTTGGGAGAGGGCCCTCAGAAATACCACACCAATCGCCACTCAGCCTGCTGCAGCCAGATTAACCGGTTTGGCCAATTTGCAACCAACAAGAGATGTTTTTTTTTAAATAAACTTTTATCTTTTTCCTTTTATTATTGTTTTATCTTTCAATATTCTTTCCTCTCTTTTCTTCTTTCCTGTTTTACTCCTTCTTCCTTTCCTTTCCAAACTTACAGCTTTTTCCTCCCTTCTCTAGACTTTTTTTTCTTTTACCCACAAGTAACACAAACAACTTGGAACTGAGAAAAGACTAGAGTTGCACCCAAAGAGAGGGCATCCCAATAGTAGAGACACAAAGAAAAATTTCACTTTGCTATAGCAGAGAAGCCACAAGTTGCTATATATTTGTATTATTATTATTTTTTCATTATTCTCACTTCTTTTATATTTTAATAGTATCTTTGTATTCCTCCTCTTTCTGTATAGGCTTCTTTGCCTTGGCTGGGTAAATTGTATCATTTGACAGGTTTCCCCTGTTCTCTCCTCCACAGGGTATTGCTAATTTTCTATACTTCACACCACTTGTTTTCGCTTAGCACACTATTCAAAGTCTATACCCCCATTCATGTTATCCAGATCACAGAGTCTGTCATGTGATTGTTGCTCTAATATTATTGTAAATAATAGCTGTTCTATACAACTGTAAATACTTCGTAATACATCTCCCAGATCATAGCCCACTTTACAATTTCCTGAATTCTATTACTATAGTGGTTAACTCTATTTGCTCACACACTATACCTATTTACTATCCTTTACTCTCACCTTACCTCAGAATCTGACTGCCCGCAAACTCACTGCTTTTTAGATCCAACTCACAAGCCTTCCCTCTCCAACAAGAGACTTATCTCTTGTCCATTCTCTCTTAAAAGAGGCAAGTTGGGTGGAAGATTATAGTTAATACTACGTATAGCCTAAAGATCCTCTATCTCTTCTCTACTGGCTGTTACTGTAAATATCATAAAATACTCTTCTGCTGAAATAAACCATTTTGCCCCCCCCAACTGATTACACGCACATGAAAAAAAGAGTAGGTGGAACCACAGAACACCAGGATACCTGAAAGAAACTGCACCACTGAAGTTCACAGGTATTCTACCAGAGAAGTTCACACCATAAACCCAGGAAGCCAGAAAAGATCAAGTCAAGAAGCTGAGGCTAACCAGAAGAGTCTCATAAACAATGGGAAGACAAAGAAACAATCCACAAAGGAAAGGAGGAAGCCTCAGAAAGAATGTTAGATGAAATAGAGGCAAGTCAGCTATCAGATATTGAATTCAAAGCACATGTTATCAGGAAGTTCAAAGAGCTCACAATGAGCTATCAGAAACTACAGGGGAGCTATAATGAGCTCACTGCGAACTATATCAACATGAAAAAGGAAATAGAAACTGTCAGCAAGGGCCAGGAGGAAATGAAGAATACAATTTCTAAACTGCAGAACACAGTGGAAGGAACCAAAAGCAGGACTGATGAAGCACAAGATCAGATCAGCAAGTTGGAGGACAAAGTAGAAAAAAAACTCACAGAAAGAGCAAGAAAAGGAAAAGAGGCTCAGAAAGAATGAAGAGGGATTAAGAGAAATGCACGATGTAATAATAAGAGAAATGTAAGAGAAATATATTATAAGAGAAATATAAAACGTAATAATATCCAAATAATAGGGATACCAGAAGGAGAAGAAAAGCAAGGGATAGAAAATCTACTTGAAAAAGTAATGAGGGAAAACTTCCCTAATGTGATGAGAGAAAAAGTCAAACACATCCAGGAAACACAAAGAGTCCCAATCAAGAGGAACCCAAAGAGGCCCACTTCAAGACACATCATCATTAAAATAGCTAAATTTCAACACAAAAAGGGAATCTTAAAGGCAGCAAGGGAAAAAAAATTAACATACAAGGGAGCCCCAATAAGGTTAGCTGCTGACTGCTCAATGGAAACACTCCAAGCAAGAAGAGAATGGCAAGAAATATTCCAAGTAATGAGAACCAGAGGCCTACAACCAAGGCTACTTTACCCAGCAAGGCTCTCAATCAAGATAGAAGGCCAAATAAAGAGCTTCCAACACAAAAGAATATACCTCCACCAAACCAGCTATGCAAGAGATGCTAAAATGACTCATTTAAGGAAAGGAAGAAAAAGAGAGAGACAGAGAAGAACACAGGTACAAAAATGGCAATGAATAAGTACCTATCAATAATAACCTTAAATGTAAGTGGATTAAATGCTCCAATCAAAACACACAGAATAGCTCAATGGATAAGAAAGCATGACCCACACATATGCTGCCTACAAGAGACCCACCTAAGGACAAAAGACCATCACAGACTAAAAGTGAAAGGCTGGAAACAAATTTACCACACAAACGGACAAGAAAAAAAAGCTGGGGTAGCAATTCTCATATCAGACAAAATAGACTTCAAAAAAAGGGCCATAAAGAGAGACCCAGAAGGTCACTTCATTATACTCAAGGGAAGAATCCACCAAGAAGACATTAACATCGTAAACATATATGCACCAAACATAGGGGCACCCAAATATATCAAGAAAATCTTAGAGGACTTCAAGAAAGATACTGACAGCAACACAATTACAGTAGGGGATTTTAACACCCCACTATCAAAAATGGACAGATCTTCAAAATAAAATATCAACAAAGATATTGTGGTATTAAACAACACCCTAGATGAAATAGACTTAACTGATATATATAGAGACCCTCATCCCAAAGAAACTAAATACACATTCTTTTCAAACGCACATGGAATATTTTCAAAGACAGACCACATAATAGGACACAAAATGAGCCTCAACAAATTCAAGAAAATTGAAGTCATACCAAGCATTTTCTTTAACCACATGGGACTGAACTGGAAACCAACCCCAAAGGAAAAAACCCCAAACACTCAAAATCATGGAGATTGAATGCCATGCTATTAAACAACAAATGGGTCAAGAATGAAATTAGGGAAGAAATCAAAAAGTTTCTGAAAACAAATAAAAATGAACTCACAACAACCCAAACCTTATTGGACACAGTGAAGGCAGTGCTGAAACAGATCATAGTAATGCAGGACTATCTAAAAAAGATAGAAACATTTCAAACAAACAACCTAACCCTATGCCTACT